TATACTTTCTGTAAATAGTAATAAAAATCATTCAGCTGTACATTTTAAACAGGTGAACTTTATGGTACATAAATTATATCTCAATAAAGCTATTTAAAAAAAAATTAAGTAGGGAATTCCCTGGCAGTCCGGGGGTTAGGACTCTGTGCTTCCACTGCAGGGGGCATGGATTGGACCCCTGGTCGGGGAACTAAGATTCTGCAAGTGGCACAGTGCGGCCCCGAAAAAAGGTGACTGCTTGACTGCTGTCCTGGGCTCCACACTTACCACAAAACTATGGAAAGTAGAGCTCTTTTTAAACCCACAGAACTAAAAAAGACAAACCAATTGATAATCCCCCAGCTTAATATATCAAGCAACTATACTCATTGTTTCCAAAGATACTGCTAAAGTGACAATTATCAGAATATTCTTAGTAAGCTACTTTTTGAAGGAGGTCAAGAATAAATCCTTCCAGGAATTTGAATTAATGTATTTTAATTCTTTTGTATCTTGAAAATTAAAATATATCAAGATATAGACATATAATGTCCCTTCCCAGTATCCTATCCCTCCCATTTCTGAATATATGATCATGAACTGTAGAGGCAAATGTTAAAGTTTAGTAAGTGTGTGGTAACTATCTACCACAATTTACTCCTTAGATTTCTAGGTATTTCCTATCTAGATACTAGAACATTTTTATTAATTCAAGCTTTTACTATACCTATCACATACATGTTTCTGAACTACTAGCCTCACCTCACACAAAAAAGAAACCAGACTGAGAGAAAACATTTTTATCCAAAACACCACCAATAACAGAAGATCAAGCAGTAAAGAATTCCAATAATTTTAGCAATTTATATAAAATAGAACACATTTATGCTAACTCATCTTTATTAGCATGACCATGTGGTTCATTTCTACCCAAAGCAACATATGAAGAACTTGTATAAATAGTTTAAACAGGCTCTCTTTTATAATGGAATGAGGGAGAAAATAAGGATGTGGTTATGAACACTACTCACTCAGAGAAATGAGAAAGTAGCAACATTATATTTGCATTTTATGATCCTAAGCAAGCACTTTCCCTCACCTCTTCCCAGTGTAACACTTAAAAACTGGCCTATCCCTCTCACTACATCTAAACCAGCATCAGAAAACAAACACAATCTGCCATAACGCTAAATGAGCCTTCCCTCCCTTCTCATAGCTGAATTTTTATAAGAAAATGGCAGAATTCTGCTGTTTTAACTGCTAATATTATCTTCTGTGAAAATCCTACTAAAATGAATTCAAATAAACTAGTACAGTCCTCCCCTAAACAAACTCTAGAGGCAAATGTCCCCCTCCATCCTACATATTTCCTCCTATTACTTCTTTCAAGAATTATTTCCTGGGGACTTCCCTGGTGGCACAGTGGTTAAGAATCCACCTGCCAATGCAGGGGACACAGGTTTGAGCCCTAGTCCAGGAAGATCCCACATGGCACGGAGCAACTAAGCCCGTGCACCACAACTACTGAGCCTGTGCTCTAGAACCCAAGAGCCACAACTACTGAGCCCGTGTGTCACGACTACTGAAGCCCGTAAACCTGGAGCCCGTGCTCCACAACAAGAGAAACCACTGCAATGAGAAGCCCATGTACCACAACAAAGAGTAGCTCCCACTCGCCGCAACTAGAGAAAGCTCGCACGCAGCAACAAAGACCCAACACAGCCAAAAATTAAAATTAATTAATTTTTTAAAAAAAGAATTATTTCCTGATTAACTCTATGCTACTCAGTTTACTTTTTTGTTCTACATCTGCATACAATTCAAGTACTATTTACCTGCATAGTGCTTTGCAAAGGCCCATAATTTTGAAGTGTTTATGTTCCCTCAACAAAATTAGAAACTACTTAAGAAAATCCACGTGTTCCAATTCTTTTTTTTTTTTTAATTTACTTTATTTAAGTAATTTATTTTTGGCTGTGTTGGGTCTTCGTTACTGCATGCTGTCTTTTCTCTAGTAGCGGCGAGCGGGGCTACTCTTCGTTGCAGAGCATGGGCTCTAGGCGCATGGGCTTCAGTAGTTGTGGCACATAGGCTCAGTAGTTGTGGCCCGAGGGCTCTAGAGCGCAGGCTCAGTAGTTGTGGCGCACGGGCTTAGTTGCTCCACAGCATGTGGGATCTTCCTGGACCAGGGATCAAACCCGTGTTCCCTGCATTGGCAGGAGGATTCTTCTTCTTTTTTTTTTTCTTTAAAATAGATCTTTATTGGAGTATAATTGTTTCACAATACTGTGCTAGCCTCTGTTGCACAACAAAGCGAATCAGTCACGTGCATACACATGTCCCCACATCCCCTGCCTCCTGAGCCTCCCTCCCACCTTCCCTATCCCACCCCTCTAGGTCATCTCAAAGCACCGTGCTGATCTCCTTGTGCTTTGTTGCTGCTTCCCACCAGCCAACTATTTTACATTCGGTAGTGTATATATGTGGATGCTACTCTCACTTTGCCCCAGCTTCGTCCTCCCACCCCATGTCCTCAAGTCCATTTTCTATGTCTACATCTTTATTCCTGCCCTGCAACTAGGTTCATCAGTACATTTTTTAAATATATATTCCATATGTATGTGTTAGCATACGGTATTTGTTTTTCTCTTTCTGACTTACTTCACTCTGTATGACAGACTCTTGGTCTATCCACTTCACTACAAATAACTCAATGTCGTTTCTTTTTATGGCTGAGTAATATTCCATTGTATATATATGCCACATCTTCTTTACCCATTCATGTGGCGGGCAGATTCTTAACCACTGTGCCACCAGGGAAGACCCCTCCAATTCTTTTACACAAAGTTAAGTACACACAGGCAGCCCCAATACTTAAACAGTCAATTTACCCTCTAGAGACATGAAAAAGTTCCAAAGATAATGTCCTCATTCACAAAATAATTCAGATGCATCCCCATCGGTTCACTCATTCGTTCATCACACTTTGAGACAGCACCAGCTGTGCAAACTCTCCAGTCACTCCCCTGCTCAAAAATGCCCATGACTCCTCATTGTCTACCAAACATTCAAAACACAATTTCTCATACATTCACTTTCCAGGTTCTCCCAAACATTCCTCATGCCTTTGCGTACACTTCTATCCCCTCAGCAGGAACGCTGTCTACACCACAGTCAGCACTCCCCCCCACCCCCATCTGTACATGTCAATTATTAGGTCTCTATAGTGTTTAGACACTATGAGAGGTCCCTGTATATAAAGACTTTCTAGTTTGAATATATGAATAAAACTTTAGCCCCCATCAGTCACAGCCACCATCACCTCAGTCTAGCAGGAAGATGTTGGTTTGTACACAAATCATTGTAATACTGTACAACACAGTAAGTACATAGTAAGCTAGTAACCTATAGCAAGTAGGCCATACCTAAGGGGTGTAAAAAAATCAACATATTGTGGACGCACCCTACCAGGAAATCTGTTTGGGATGTACAGGGGTAGAAAAAAGTGAATCAAAGAAATTTAATTTTTTTTCAATGATGAAAATTAGTTTCGCCTACTGGACCAAGTTCTGAATGCAGGGCTTTGCTTGTTTTAGCAAAAAAATATCTTTTTTTTTTAATATATACACAGCAGGTTCTTATTAGTTATCCAAAACATACCTTCTTAATGAAATGAACTTGTAGGCATTTCAGGGCAATGAGAAAGAGGGCCAACTTGTGGTACCAGGGCTGCGAAGGGTGCAGAATGGATGAGATGAGAGAAGAACGCCTGGATCCTCAGTTCTCCCAGCTTCAGGATCCTCAATCCCTATGCTGATTGTTTTTGGCTTCCTAGTAGATGATGAGGTCCTTTCCTTTCCCATGTTTCTTGGTGCTTTCTCCCCCTTCCCATGTCTCCATCATCCATTCCCAGTGTTTACTGGCTCCCCTCTCAGTGTTGATCTTAATGCCACCACATCTGCCTCTCTCCTCTAATGTCCCATGAAAGTGAGACGTATGATAGACAAAAAATTTCTAACTTCTGAATCCCTTCTCTAATCTAGTGCATTCCCTGGGCTAGAGGACAACCCTCTCTATACTTCACATGCCAAGAACAAACAAGTTTGTTTTTCATAAAATCAGGCATTTTTCACTCTAATTTAATTTATTTTTTTAATGAAAAAAAAACTTTATTATGGGATAAAGAAAATCTTTTATCATTTTAAATAATAAAATTTAAAGCATTAAAAAAAATGCCCATAAAGAAATATTTTGGTTTGGGAAAGAACATAGTGTTCCTTAGTCCAGGACAAATTAGGTTGTTTTATTTTCTTTAATCTTATTGGAGTACAGTTGACTTACAACTATTTTTTTTAAAGAGTAGATAATACATGTATACTGTACAAAACTCTAGAGGCATAAAGGAGTATGCAGAGAAAAGTGAAGTGAGGTGAATGCCGTCCTCCTCCCCAGAGACAATCAGTATCATCTGTTTACCATTACTAAAACAAGATAGTTTTCCACAGAAACAGAGTAGCTCAGCCAAATTCTGCTTCAGGGCTTGTTTTTTTGTGGAGAAGAGGCGATCTATGAACCAGACATGTATGTGTAATGTGCCTATGTGAAAACACAACATGAGTTCTGAAGAACACAATCTTTCCAGAAGACTGTAGACACAACTTGGGATACACAGTATGGTATTGTGAACAGAAAGGACATGGCTTCTGGCTCTTCACAGAACTGTGTCCACATACCAGCTCTGACATTAGGCATCTTGGGAAATGTTACTTAATCTGTGAACTTTAGCTTTCTTGTCCATAAAATAAGAATAGATTTTTGTGATGATTAAATTAAAACATGTTAAATGCTTTGGTTTCTCCATGGCTTTACCCTTGTTTTTAGCTTCCCTTGTGGAATGTTTTCATTTAACTGCATCTAGAATATTTTTTATTTTAATGTATACCCAAATATCTAAAGAAAAAAATGAGTGAAAACCACAAGATAAGAGGCTTCCATTTACAGAATCAAAGACTAACAATTACCTTTTGTTCTTCTCTTTCTGTTGCATGGTGACACTTTTCAATTCTCCAATGCCTTAAGAAATCTCGAAGATATCCAAAGAGAGTGAGGACACCATACCCCACATAAGTAAGCACAGCAACCAGCATTGGCGTCTCTTCAAAACCTTCATTAAACGGTCTTTTATATAGTCCTCCATTTTGTGTAACATGATGTATCTAAAAGGGAGGTTAAAAATGTTTCTTTCAGTCATGGTAACAAAAAGAGTGCTACTTAAAATCTGAGTCCTTACAGATTTGCATACCTTCAGAATTCTCTAAGTAATTGTCAACCCCCCCCACCACCACTACCAAACATCTGCTAAGTTCTAAGCGGGGCCTAATTTTTTTCTGTGGAAATAAGCTTTAAGTTATACATACTTCAGATGAACAGCAAAGAAAAGCAAGGGGAGAAGGACTGTGTAAGAACAACACTTAACACTGATTTCTATCACTTGATTTTATGCAAGAGATCCTAGAATGCTATGCTTAGAGAATGCATAATTTTCTTTGCCCTAATAAAGAAAAAGCCTATCCTGAAAATAGTATATTAGCTTACAAATAATCGAAAGTAAATTCAGGTTTAGAATAAAATAAAATATTTGTAAATGTTTTACTGCTAAATATTCTTAAAGCCACCGAGCCACAGCATTTCAAATAATTATTAGCACTGGGCATCTATGGAAACACATAGTTTATACCAGCTTTGTTGTCAGTGGTAACACAAATAAATTATTCACAAAAATAAAACGCTTACATTAAGTGATCCAGCACTGTATAACGCAGGAAGAAAGTGAAATCCAACACAAGGGGAAAAACTGTTAGAGTGATCACTAACAGTCCTGAAATCATTCTGTCCTCCTTCATCTTGACCAAGTGACCTTTTCCAAACATAAGATTATCCCTACTTTCCTCTTTAGGGATATCCAAATTTTAACATACAAACACCAAGGTACTGTACTTTGATCTCATAGCTGAAAGCTATTTACTCTTTGGTCAATTTTAATGGAAATGTTGTTTTACAGAAAAATTCCACTAAAGTAGTTTCTGCATCAACTTTAATCTTAACTCTGAAACAACACATTGCTTTGAGGATGGTCAGTCACAATTTACCAGGAACATATTTTCTACTGAGCACTGTACTAGAGTTAAGAAGAATTCGAAAGGAATAAAAGATTCTTTCTTGGCCTCTCAGGCAACCTGATCGAAGAGCTAAATATTAGTTTGGGAAAGCTACTAGAATGCTACAAGTTAGGACAGTTTGGAAACAAATTACTGTATTTGACAAAGGAAAGACACTTGGATAGGCATGATACATGAAATCTGTTGGTAATGATTCAATTTGATGGCCTAAAGAACCTCTGAAAACTATTCATAAAACTGACTTAGGTCTTCATCAATCTCTTCCCCAGTGGTGGAATTCTGTGCTAACATTTACTGCTTAAACTTTCATGCAGGAGCAAAGTTGTAATGTGTTTAGAACAGAATAGCTAAAAATGAACCAATATCTGAATATAGAAAATTGTTTAAAAATTAGTAATAACATGTAAGCAAGCAATTAACCTGGAAAAAACAAAATCAAGAGCACTTAAAACACAAGAAAAATAACATTCTGATTATCTTGTTTTTTAATAAATTTATTTATTTTATTTATTTATTTTGGGCTGCACTGGGTCTTCCCTGCGGTGTGCGGCCTTCTCATTGCGGTGGCTTCTCTTGTTGCCGAGCGCGGGCTCTAAGTATGCGGGCTTCAGTAGCTGTGGCATGTGGGCTCAGTAGTTGTGGCTCACGGGCTCTAGGGTGCAGGCTCAGTAGTTGTGCCACATGGGCTTAGCTGTTCTGTGGCATGTGGGATTTTCCCGGACCAGGGCTTGAACCCATGTCCCCTGCACTGGCAGGCGGATTCTTAACCACTGCGCCTCCAGGGAAGCCCCTGATTATCTTTTTAAAAAACTATATCTAAAAATACTTTGCCATAAGAACACACCAGTACCCAACTCACTGTAACTCTGAAATTGTTTACACTATTTTCTCTCAACTGAACATACTAGTAAAAAGTAAGGCAATTTTCAGAGCTCCTAAGTCTCTAACAAATGTGTGGCAGATTTATATGCCAGGAATGCTGTGGGCGGATCTCTTTAAAAAGAGATCCACCTTTATTTCAGACACACCCAAACCAGCAAGACCAAGTATATTTATACAGTTGGTTGGACTGACTAGGAAGGAGAAAGTTAAATCATTAGTTTGCTTTTAAATATTGTGTGATTCTATCATAGCCTCACTTAATAAAATTAAATGCATTTTAAGGAACTGAGATTCAACTATGAAGTAACTTTTACAATGTGGCCTCAAAGCACAGTTCACTATGATCATTCACAGAGTCAGAATGGACAGACCAACTGACATGCAAACTTCTGACAGGTGAAAAAGTCTTAGAGAAAACAAAATTACTTGATCTTCAAATGCAGATGCTAAATGCTATCTCTGACATGATTCAAATAAAAATAATGGTATTACCATCTTATACGTGTATAATATTCTATAAGGGAAAGCACCAGGCTTATTTTGTTCACTGCACAACTAGCACTCAGGATAGTATTTATTAAGTGCTAACAAATAATAAGTACTCAATAATGTTTCCTTTTGGGAACTCCCTGGCAGTCCAGTGGTTAGACTCCGAGCTTTCACTGCCAAGGGCATGGGTTTGATCCCTGGTTGGGGAACTAAGATCCTGCAAGCTGCGTGGACTGGCCAAAAAAAAAAGGAAAAATAATAACGTTTCCTTTTATTACTATTAGTATTACAGAAAGTGGCACCTTATAGGAGCTCAACAAGTATTTGTAAATGAAAATACACATTATGCTCTTTGCTCTGTCACAGAAGGGGTTAACTTATGATGATTATACAATTAATATTAGAACATTTCTAGAACCCATATCTGATACCTTCTAGTCTCAACTGGACTGGAGATCAAGTTCACTCTAAACAAACACAGGCTACAAACCCTTACAGAATATTTCATATTCTGGATTCACCATGCAAGAGGGCTCTTAAGAGGCCTTTCAGTCACTCTAACTTGAGAATTACACTGTCGACAAGGCAATCAAGAAAAATATTAGCATATCACTCCCTCCAGGTCAAAAAATTTCACATTAAGCAGACACGAGTGTGACACTCTGTATTATTATTCAAGAGAAGTTTAAGAACACCAATGAATACCAAGACACATTTGCCTGAACAGTAATATTTTTTCTAGAAAATGAAGAAGGAAAAAAAAAAGGCAAAGGAAGAAATTTTTTTAAAGTCGACTAAGTACACACCATAAAACATGACTTTTAGGAGGGCCATGGGCAGAATGTTAGAGGCTGAGTGTTTGTGTCTCTAACCCCATTCATATGTTAAAGCCCTAAACCCCCAGTGTGAAGGTATTTGAAGGTTGGGCCTTTGGGAGATAATTACGTTTAGGTGATGAGGGTGGGACCCTCTCGATGTGATTAGTGCTCTAATAAGAAGAGAAGACAGAGATCTCCACTGAGGAAAGGCCATGTGAGCATACTATGAGAAAGTGGCTGTCTACAAGCCAGGAAGAGGGTTCTCGCAAAGAACTGAACCTGCCAGCACCTCTGATCTTGGACTTACCAGCCTCCAGAATCGTGAGAAATAAATATCTGTTGTTTAAGCCACCCCATCTATGGTATTTTGTTATAGCAGCCTGAACTAAGACAGAGGTAAAGAGACATAATGCACATATCCTACCCTCAATTGGTTCAGGAAAAAATAAGTGTGAGTGTGTGTGTGTGTGTGTGTGTGTGTGTGTGTGTGTGTAGAGAGAGACAGAATGATGGAGAATTTCTTCATGAACCATTTGTGAGTCAGTTGCAGTTATACGGTACCTTTATCTTTTAATACTTCAGTGCATATTTCTAAAAACAAAGATATTCTTTTACATAACTACAGAACAATTATCAAAATCAGGAAATTGCTAGAATACTAATACGTACTTTATTTAGATTCCGCTAATCGTCCTAAGAGTGTCCTTTGCAGCAAAAGAAAGTCCTGGAAAATGTATTGTATTCTCTCTTTAGTTTCAGAAAAGAAAAAAAAAAGGGGGTTTTCATTACTCTGTAAAATGACTTAGAAGGAATAATCCTGAGCAGAGGTTTCGAGAATCCCATGAAAGGACACAAAGTAACTATGCAATTTTGGGGAAGTAATTATTGGAAAACAGAAGCTTACATTCCTGACATAGATACAAAATCACATAAGCATGATTTTTTAAAGCAAATAAACACATTCCCGCTTAATGTGACAGCAGGATGACAGAACCTGCCTATCACAACAGAACCTGCCCAACTGGTAGACAGCTTGGGACATTATTTTAAAAATTAATGTCCAATATGAACCACCCATTATGCATCAGCAATCAAAGGACTGTTATGTCTTTTCCTTTAAATGAACCCTATTCATTTCCAGTGATACGCTGTGTTGTTCCTTAAAATAAGTTCTGCTGAAATGGTTCTTTATTGGAATTTTACTGAAAATATACTAGCCTCTCACTACTGCCTACCACTCATACTAGAGAAAATAGTTTGGAGCTTCATGCCCATCACACAAGCTGTGCCACACTCTGAACATATATTTCCAGAAGTGTCTTCATTTTCTTGGCAGGCAAATTTTGAAAAGTAGGGAGTCCACATTTTATCTTGCAATCAGGATAAGTTCCCGAATTTCTGTTGGTAAGTAACTCATATGGAATGGACTAAGGAGTGCTTCCAAAGCCAGCTGTGAAACAAACCTATATTTTGACATTACCATATTCCTACTGAAAACTCAAAAATGCAGACCTCCAAGTATATATGCATTGCAGGATTTCAGTCAGTGTCATCCTGTGCACTCTGGGCAGTGATGTTCTGCACAGGAGTTATTATTTTCACTTGCCACTCACAGCTCTGTAGCACTTCCCTATCTCTAGATAAGCATCAAGGTATGACAGACGGATGTAATAGGAGATTKGCGTACCAGTGCAGTTCTGCCACAAATTCCAYGTCTTTTTCTGAGCTMTRTTCCACYTCTAACATGTTCTAGGCCTGTAACACCGTGCCCTCCWCTYTGGCTTTGTAGTTGACATGAACTGGAAAGGCAACCCAGTTTGCATCAGTCTCCCTTCTCTGGGAATACTC